CAAGCTGGTGAACACTGACAAATTATTTCTCCCAACAGAACTATAACCACACATTCCCAGACAGAATAAATATATAGTTGAACTAACATTAATACACATCGCCATTTTATCGATTACATAATCAAACAAATGATAAGTATCCAATTATTAAGTTACATAGTTGAAAAGGCATATAAAATATGTCTGCTCAGTTTGTCAGCAGATCCCACCGAAGTTGAGAAGAGAAGAGAAAGCCATAATTCAAGCAAGTTGGAAAACAACTTCTGATAGGTATGGAAAAAAACAAGAATTTCAGAAATTTTGATTAAGAATTGGTTAGCTACAACAATGTATCTCTACCTTTTAAAACTATTTACTAAATTAAAGAGCGTATTCTACATGTTCTGCACAAGATAAAGGCAATATTTTACTAAAAATATTTAATAGCCTCCTCCATTCTTTTATCAGACCTTCCCTGTTTAAGTTGCACCTTTGAGTGCAAACAATAACTATACGGCTTTTTGTCTGGAGACATTATTGAAGACATGTGCTTCTGTAACAAAGTTGATTTTCAAATGGAGGTTCCCCATAACAGCACAAAATAATATAAAGACATTAAATAATCCGCACAAGACTTCTTTCTTTTGTTTTTAAAAGAGAGAAGATCTTGCTATATGGCCCTGACTGGTCTTGTACTCAATATGCAGCCTGACTGGCCTCATATTTCTGGCAATCTTGTCTTGGTTTCTACTGCAGGAATTACAGGCTTCTACCACATAGTTGGCTATTTTCTTCTTATACTTGTCTTTCTGTTTGATCCTTTTTCTATATTTCCACAATAGCTCTCAACCTTATTATTTAACATTTTTTTCTTTCTTGGAGTATGGCATCTCCAAAGGCTCAATGATAACCCTTCACCACGTGGCAATCCCACACTACATAGTAACCCCTAACTCAGTGGTAACCCCATACTCCGTGGCAATCCCACACTCCATGTAGTGGAATCTCAAGTTCAAGGTCATACAGGACTATCTGGTAAAATCTTCTTTATAAAAATAGGGCCTGGAGAGATGGCTCAGTGGGATAGAATACTTCCTGCCCTGCCAGGGGACTTGAGTTCAGTCCCAGGACCCTATCAAGCTTCTCACAGCCACCTACAACTTTCATTCTAGGGGTCCCAAGGCCCTCTTCTGGCCTTTGATAGCACCCACACACAAAGAATAAAATAAATCTTTAAAAAATAAGACGTAACGTCTTTAAAAAAAAAAAAATCAGCAGGGAATGGTGACTTGCACTTTTAATCCCAGCACTCGGGAAGAAAAGGCTGGCAGATCTCTGTGAGTTCAAGACCAGCCTGGTCTACAGAGAGAATTCCAGGACTACACAGAGAAACCCTGTCTCAAAAAGCAAGACACTGTGTGTGTGCTGTGTGTGTGTGTGTGTGTGTGTCTGTGTGTGTGTGTCTGTGTCTGTGTGTGTGTCTCTTTCTCATTAACCACTGAAAACAAGAAAATATTCTGGGGAAACTACTTTCCACCAAAAAGTCACTGTATGATAGAAGAGTGTCTGTGAAACACACCATGCCATCGCGAGTAAGATGGTCTAATTTCTAAGCTATTTTAAGGATATAAACATCTGATTCTAGAGGTAATGTAACTCAGTGACTGACTCTGAAAAATTACTCAGAGCAGTGATGAAATGGACACTGGCACCTGACTGGTCTCCAAAGCTCTGCCTCGATGGCACATTCACACAGCACTGGGAACCCAACGCCTTAACATGCAACAGTTACAAATGCAGTCACACCTGTGGGCCAGCACACCCTAAGCCCTGACTTGGTGTGTATTTTATGTGTGCCTGTACATGGGAGTGTGCACCTCCTCTCAGGGGCTCATGGAGGGCAGAAGGCTGCAGACTCCCTGGAACTGCAGCTACAGGTGCTTGTGAGCTGGGAGCCGAACTCTAGGAACCTGTGAGAGCAGCAGGCAGCCATCTCTCCAACCCTTAAGATGGCTTTTAAAATTGGGCTGCAATTCTCATGTGTATCTCTGCTGATTTAAAAAGAGCCCAGTCTCATTGGGCATGGCCGAATGACCATTTCCTTCCCAGTTGTGCCTCAGAGACCCCGAAGAAGCGATGGTTATCATATGCTGTGTTAAACTCTGAACAAGAAATAAATGGCATTGCCAAGGCTGCCCATGGGTACAACTGAGAATGAGTGGGTTATCTAGATCCTCCCATGCTTGCTGGGAAAGCCATGTCCCACAGACAGTAGGAGATGGGAAGGGTGCCTGGGACAATGTGGGAGGTGGGGTAGCTCAGTGGGTAAGGCACAGCCCTGAAGACCTGAGTTCAAATTCCCAGAGCTCAGCAATGTCAAGTGAGGCGGTGCCTCTCACAGGCCAGCTTCCCTGACACACACAGTTGTTATGATAAATCTTTCTGCCAAAAGCCACCCGAGCCCCACCGCCATGTGGGCGGTCTCTGCCAGCCACCCGAATTCTGCCACTGCGTGGATGGACAAAATAATACAGAGACATATTAGGTACAATGCTGCTTGGCCAATGACTAGAATTCCCATCTGCTAGCTCAGTCTTAATTATCATAAATCTATGTATTTTATAAGACTTATCTTATCGGTCGCCTTCCATTGCTGTCCCTCCTTGCCAGTGGATGCTGAAGGAAGAGCGGAGGGGAAAGGGGGCACACTTCTGGTTTCTCTTTGCTTAAATATGAGTCTCCTTGCTATGTCACTTCCGGCCTGGATCACCACTTCTCTACTACATTTCCCAGAATCCTCTTTGACTCCTAGTCCCGCCTAACTTGCTGTCTCATTGGCCAAACAAGTACTTTATTCAATAATCAATAAGATGAACATACACAGTACATTCCCCATCACACAGTGGCTCACAACAAAGACTGTTTCAAATGAGGAAGGTAAGAAGCGCCAGAGGCTGCCCTCTGACCTCCCCACACACGGTAACATGTATGTACATGTCTGCACTCACGCATGTAAACAGGCAGGCACAAGCACACACACACACAGTACACACACACACACAAGACAACGGGATCAGTGAAGCAGCTCCACGGGCAGAGGTGCTCACTACCAAGCCCTGTCTCTTAGGTTCTATCCTGGTCACTCTCCTGGTGGGCAGAGAGAACAGACTCTCAAACGTTGTGTGTTGAGCCTGGAGAGATGGCTCAGTGATCAAGAACACTGACTGGTCTTCTAGAAGATCTAGGTTCGATTCCCAGCACCTCTATGGTGATTAACAACCCTCTGGAACTCCATTTCCAGGGCATCTGACACCCTCTTCTGGCATGCACAGATACCCGTGCGGCCAGAACACCCACACGCATAAAAACGAATCTTTTGAATTAATAAAGAAGCATAGTTAGCAGACTTTGGAGGAATGGAGGAAACCCTTTAGGCAGGCATCCCATGCCATCTCCATAAAAGGCTCTCTATAAGACCCCTAAAGTCACAACCCAACGCCCAAGCAGCATCCTCACTTATATGGACTGAAATAAGGTCTGAATAGTCCTAGCTTTCTCTGGGTTGGTAACAGAGTTTCCTCATGGGCACACATGAAAAATAAGGAATAAAACTTACAATTGGGAAAATAACCAAGCAAGTCACAGATACTCTGGGAAGCCTCTCACTTAGGATCATAAGGCTGTTTTTAATTTCCTCCCAGAAGGTTACAACCCATTCCCAATGAGTATCCAATGACCTGAGAATAGTCCTTACCTACAGACTTCCACCCCCCTTGATTTTGTTGTTCTTAGCCCAGAGTTGGTCTCCTGTAGCCCTAGTGGCTGCTACACAGCCAAGGATGGTCCTAAATTCCCGAGTCTTCTCTCTCCATGCCACAAGCACTGGGACTATTTACTCGTGGTGCCTCCAAGCCTGGCTCACAGTGACAATTTTTTAAAACTCCGTCCTTTGTCTCCATGGCTCAGAAAGTAAATTAAACTGAAATTTGCCCCTCCCCACTTCCCGACAAGGCAGTGCCACCCTAGGTTAGCCCTCGTCGTTAGCTTTGGGCCTTGCTAAAGGGTCCACAGCTGGGGAATGTGAACCCCTTTTCTCAGTGAGCTGTGGAGTACAGCACGTAGCTTTTCTCTGCACATAAACTGCCCACCCAGAGTTTGGGAACTTACATTTTAAGGTAGATTTACACAGAATGAGCAACTGAATCAGATAGTGAATACATTAAATGCATGTCTACCAAAATAGTACGCGTATGATTTAGTGAAACAAGGCAGAGAAGTAAAATACACATATATCTCCATGTCTGTCAGGGCTAGAGGCAAAGGGAGCCGCGGTGTGAATGAAGTGATGAGGGGATTCCGTCCAGTCTCTAACTCCCTCCTCCACCTCCTCAGAAGCTGAAATGTGGCTGCGCTCCACTGCTCCCAAAAGCCCACGGTTTATTACTGGAAACTTCCTTCCCGGAAGCTAGAAAATGGCACAACCAACTGAGTACCATTTCCCTTAGAAAGGGGCGCCTTTCAGATCTGAGAGCCTAAAACGCCTCTGTCGGTGGCTGGGCTAGCTACCATCAGATTAGCACTAGAAGACAACGCCTGGACGCTCCTGTCCCTCAGGCTGCCCTAAAGCTCAAGTGACCTGTAACTCCCGGAGCTTCCACATGGAGCCTGGAACCGAAAAGATGCTAAGAAGGTCGTCTTCCCGCTTCCATTACACCCGCCCAAGAGAGCAACCCGAGCATCCTCCCCAAACCCCATCTCTGGGCAGCTCAGACGCAAGGTCTTTCTTCCCGCCTCGGGAGACTGTGGGACAGGTGTTGTGACATCCTCTGAAGCTGGGTACCGAACCCACAGACCCTGGGCACGAGCCCGAGTGAGAGCAACTGCGGACGGAGACCAGGCCGGGTCCCCAAGCCTGGTGGCCGAGGACCCGAAACAAAGCGGGTTTGTCCTTTCATCTCCTCTCTCCGTCCGAGATGTCCCCGGTGGGTGGCTGCATTCCAGCAGGAACTTCAGTCCCTTACCTTCATTGCTCGTGCGGGTGTCGGGGCTCCAGCTCCTGGGCGCAGGTCTGAGTCTCCTCCAGCTGCGGTGCGGCGGCGACACGTGGCGCTCAGGGTCGCGGAGCACGGAAGATGGAGAGCTGCGAGCGCTGGGCTGCGGATTGCATCAGCGACTGGCCCTGCAGGGAGCTGCAGCTGGGCCTCAGGCACACTCCAGGGTGGGGGACCATGTGATGCGGCACGTACTTCTCTTGCAGGAGGGGAGACAGCTCTGACAGGACCTTTGATTCACTTCCTCTCTGCTGGCTGCTGAGAAGCCTGGCTACCTCCCTCCCCTACCTCAGCCACACACTGCACCCGGTCAGAGCGCACAAGTTTTAAGATATATTTTGGGATAGTAAGGAACAGCTTGGATTTTTCCAGGGCTGTGGGTTCTCAATCTCTAACCTCAGTCTACTCTCAAATACAGCCGTTCTTGCCAATTCCTTCACCTTTTCATTTTTTAAAATTACATTCAGATAAATGTAATACATTTCGTGTAGGGGTATGTGGCTAGGTGGGCTCGCACAGTGGCGGCTGTGGAGGACAGCCGACAGGAATGGGTTCTCTCCTTCCACCATCGGAGCCCTGGGATGGGCTCTCAGGTTGGGTAGCCAGCTTTCTTAGTTCGCATCCTCTGATGTGCACACACATAAGTTTTTCTGATGTGAGATTGGCGCGCCACTTGGCCACTTCCTCTCCCTCTCCACACACAAGTGTCCCAGTGGCTGGATCTCTGTATGTAGCCTCAGGCTAGACCCCAGCTGACTGTGTTCAGGGGCTTTTAGGGAGGAGAGCCGCTCCCATCTGAGGACCTCGCTAACTTTCTGTTCGGTAATCTAAGCAGATCTTTGTTGTGAAATTTTCATTCCTAACTCCTTGGAAGAGAATCAGCCTCGTCCAGGACTGTTTTTCCTGTATCCTCTAGAAATAAAAATGATTTTTCTTTTTTTTTTTCTTTCTGAAGCCTGGGATGAACTGGTGACCAGGCAAACGAATGACTGAGTTATCTTTGTACCCAGCACAATAGAAAGGTTCTTCCATCCATTCGACTTAGTCTAGATAGGCTTTTTAACTCTAGTAGCACTATGTACATCAACAGATGAATGCAGAAATACGTGAGTTATCATTCATAGGATGGAGCATTCGTCCACAATAAGAAGGAATTCAGCCACCAGGCAGTGATGGCACACACTTTTAGTCCCAGTACTCAGGAGGCAGAAGCAGGCAGATCTCTGAGTTCCAGGACAGTCAGAGCTACAGAGAAACCCTATCTAGAGATGTTAGACCCCCGAAAAACTCAAGTACCCGGGGTCCCAGGCCATGTTCTCGGTCACCCCAATCACCAGGCGGATTCGAGAGCTTGCTGTAAACTGCACGAGGCTTTATTGTAATTTAATGAGCTAACCCCATGTTAGCTCGGGTCTTTCACCCACCCGCCATGGCAGATGGCTAGCAAAAGACGGCTCCTAGGGCCTCCCAAGAGATCTTATAGGGCAGCGTAAGGGGAGTGTCTAGGGGTACGCACAGGCTCATGATTGGTGTGCCTACAGCCTTGGAGGGCTTGCCCTGTGTTGATTGGTCAACTGGTTGTTATGGCCCATAGGCCCTCCCAGAGTGGTTGCCATACTTTGTGTGTCATTGCTATGCACTTGTCCGTAAAGCACACCCAGGGTCGTAAAGCATAGTGCCACCAGCTAACTTCTGATTGTTTCCTTGTCACGAGGCATCTGACTTTCTAGTTTCTAGGACAAGGTCACAGAAGCACGTGTTCGGCCATTATGGCTGCCAAAAGGGGAGCTGGTCCCTTCAGAGAGAGAGAGAGAGACAGAGAGAGAGAATTAAGCCAAGATGCTGTGATGTCTATTTGTAGTCCTTGCTACTCTTAGGCTGAAGCAATATACACATACACACATGTACACACACACACACACACTCCCCAAAAGTCGTTATGCCTATACCATGGATAACTGTTGAAAACATTAAGCAATTTGAAAAGCAGCTGGACAAGAGAAGGCACACGGTAGGTTGTTGTGACCAATCTGGTCAATAGGCACAGAGTTTCTTTGGTGACTAAGATTTTCGAGGCCTGGGATATAACTCAAATGGTAGGGTGCTTGCCTACCTCCCAGCAACCCCTATGTCCAGTCACTAAGTGGCTGGTGGGGGTGGGGGAGAGAGGGGGATGAATGGGAGGAACCTAGGATAAGGGTGGAAGGAGGAGAAAGAAGAAAAACTTGATAGAATTAGGCGATAGCCATACACTAAAAACCATTGCATCACGTTTGTTTGTTTGTTTGTTTGGAGATGGGATCTCACTATGTGGGCCTAACTGGCTCAGGATGCTTCTGCCTCCCAAGCACTGAGGTTAAAGGTGTGTGCCTCGCCCTGCCATTGCATCACGTTCTTTATCTGAGTTATATATGTGTTTGAGATCAGGCCTTGCCCTACTCCATACTGAATGAGACAGGGGATTTTCCAGGCTGCACATTGCCCTGGGAGACGATGTCTATAAGCAGCTTTGGGGTCCACTCTGAGCTGGGAGAAGGAGAACCGCACCGGGTGGGCGCAGAAACAAACAGCACCATCTGTCAGGAGCCACCCACCGGGCATGGACTGATACAAGACTTATTCCTAGGAGGGGAACATGGGCTACCTATGAGCTTATCAGGGCAAATTGAGATTCGGAGGGCACACAAATATACTAAAATCATATCAAGGGAGTCAGGCCCCAAAATGTGTCAGCCCACCCAACACTGGTCCCATTTGCTCTCCTATCAATACACTCAACAGCCTGAAGCCTCCTGGACTCTGCTGTGTCCTTATGCTGTAACTCATATTTATGGATATGCATAGATAGATATATTTGTGGGATTAAGATTAGCAATTAGGGCTGGGGAGACGGCTCAGGGGTTAAGAGCACTGACTGCTCTTCCAGAGGTCCTGAGTTCAATTCCCAGCAACCACATGGTGGCTCACAACCATCCGTTATGAGATCTGGTGCCCTCTTCTGGTGTGCAGATATACATGGAAGCAGATTGTTGTATACATAATAAATAAATAAAATCTTTAAAAAAAAAGATTAGCAATTAAGATTAGGATCAAGGAACCTGCACTCTCCCCAGCCATGCTACCCAGGAAGTGGGCTATAGGGCAGACAGACTGCTGTACATTCTGCAGACATAGAAAGCTGCTACATGCTACATGTGTGTGAACCCCAGTGCCTCTCATCATTGGACCCCCTCCCAATTCCTTTACTACAGCTCCAATTTTTTAAAATGATTTATTATGTATACAGTGCTCTGTCTGCATGTACACCTGCAGACCAGAAGAGGGCACCAGATCTCATTAGGGATGGTTGTGAGCCACCATGTGCTTTCAGGGGAACTGAACTCCAGACCTGGGGCAGAGCAGTCAGTGCTCTTAACCTCTGGGCCATCTCTCCAGCCCCTACAGCTCCACTCTTTAGTCATTCTTCACAGTTTCTTCCCCCTCGGAAGGGAGACACCTACCCAAGAAGGTGTCCTGGGTAGTTCTTACTGTCAGCTCCACACACTCCGGAGTCACCCGGTAGAGGGAACTTCTGTCACCTCTGCCTCCCGAGTTCTGGGATCATAGGCCTGCACTGCTGTGGCCAGCAAAGTTTATGTGTTTGAAAAGCACAGAGAAATCGGATTAGAGAGACATCTGAGGAAGATGGCTCCCTGCTGGGCGGAGTGGCCTGGGGCAAGGGAGGGTAAAAGCAGAGATTAAACCCCATGAGGGGACTGAGACAGTGGTAACAGGATGGCCTGAGCTGGAGGGCGGGGGGTTAGGGTAAGAAGACGTGGTTGTAAGTAGGTGGAGGGGGCGCAGACACCCCCCCCCCTTTTAAATGCTGCCTACGAAGCTATGAACCAATTAAAGTTTGGAGCTTGACTCTGGGTGGATGTCAGCGACAGCAGCTGCAGGAAGGTCGTGGAAATATCGCCTACATTCCAAGAGGCTGGAACCTTGGCTGGACCTCACCGCCAGAGTTAACAACAACACACCTCGAAGCCACTTACGACTATTACCCTACTGGGGACTCAGCCTGTTTGTTTAGCCTGCCTGCTCTGAGTTAATCACTACTATGTTAGTCTCCAAAGATGTCCACAGACAGAGGCCTTACAGGGCTGTGCCTGGATTTGGATTCATTGGGCTTAGGTGACTGCGATGAACCTGGGATCTATCTAATTCGGCTCTCGGAACTGATCCGTATAGAGTTTGTGTGGATAGAGAGCAAAGATAGTGAATCTTGAATTCACTCC